AACAATAACTACCTCGATTAGTTCCCATGACCCACACCTTACTCCAGTTAGGGACAAGCATCCTTGGCTTGAAGAAATTGACCAAGACCCTCTGTCCTTGGGAGCACCCACAAACAACTGAGGGGACACCTCGGGCTGATGACGCTGCCAGAGCCTTCTAAATTCTCTTACTAGAAGTGATGTTTTCTTCTGCCTCATCTGTCAATAGCGTTCTCACTCATAACAGTCAGGGTTCTCTTATGGTGACCCCTTTTGAGGCCCAAGTTGTTCTCTAATTCTGGAGCAATTACCACAAGACCAGATACAGAAATGAGGGAAAACCTTATCCTCACAAATCTCCCCTGGGTCCCCAAGGTTGATGGCAGCGGGATTCAAAGTGACCTCCTCTGCCCTGGGATATACAATTCCCTCTTTCCTCAGTGTCTTATTAGCACAACTAGTTCCGGGGCTTTACCCTCCACTGGGTATCAGGCTTCTCCCCTCAGATCAAAGTCTTCACTAACCTGGAATGTCTGGTTTGGAAGTCATATACACCCAGGAATGCTCCAGAACTCCAAGGACCAAGTGCTGGGCCAGGGCACTATGGAGAAAGCCCACTGCTCTTGAGGGGAACCCCATTAGTTCCCTTCAAGTTTGTTGTTCGACTGTCTACCAGAGGCTTTTACCAAGGAAGCCTCTCCCACCTCTGAGAACACAATATTAAGTGAGGGGATACCAACCTGACCCCTCTGCCTGGGGTCTTCTAGCTCTGGGACATGATCCCTAAATTCTGCTGTGTTGTTCTCCTCTCTTTTTATTCATTGGAATCCTCTTCTTGGCTCTTCTGATTAAATGCATCCTGAGAAATGCCATACTTAGCTCTGTTGCTAGCTTGAGCAATTTTCCTACTACAAACCTTGTCCCCTCCCTGTCCTATAGTGAGGAGTGTTATGTGGTAAGGACGAAGCTGCAGCAGAAGACAGGAGGCCAGAGCCAAGTTGGGGGGGGGGCATCAGAAAAACATGCTCATCTATTCTTTCCTTCATCAGCCATACTTTGAGGCTCATGAAATGTGGCTTCCAACAGACCTACTTTCCACAGAGGCTCTCCAGATTGGATTTAAGTACCCCCCCATTTTGCCCTTGTCATCTGTTGTTGAATACATAGGTGATGATGTTGTCATTGAAAATTACATTTCCCCCCTTGCTCAAGCCTCTCACTTATTTTAACTTATTTCTGTAGCTCTGGGCATCTGGCCCTGCCCAGCACTTTGGGAAGAACTTCATGTCGTTGGCTGAGATGCATTTTGTGGTGGTGAGAAGTGAATGATCAACCTCTGGGCTGGGAGGAGTGGTGCCAGTGTGGGCTCCAGAAGGATTCAGAACAGGGGACTAGAATACCTAGGATATGCACCAGATTCTCAAATGTGCACGTTACCCACCTCTCAGAACCCAGGCTGTTCTTCCCTGAAGGGCTTTGGTAGGCTCTGTCTAAGGAGCCTGGTTCAGTGTGTGCATTACAGGTAAAGAGCCTAGGAAAGTGACTGGCAAGTCTCTTTAAACAATGACAGCTTCTTCTAGGAATATTTAGACACCACAATATCATTGTCCTCAGAATGAGTTATTGTTGCTGTTGTTTCCCCAGCATGTGTTGTTAGATAAATGCACGGCTCTGGGACAAGAACCAAACCAAATCCCCAGAACACAAAATCTCTAAATCTGACAAAGTTCTGCTTAGGAAGTCAAGGAAAGTCATAGTGTAGATTACCCTGTTGTTTTCTAGTCGGTTGCAACTCACGTCAGCCCAATGGCTTACCGAGTGCTAATGCCCCCATAGTACTTTCATGGCTGTAATCTTTACTGAAACAGATTGCCAGGCCTTTCTTCTGCATTCATGCGGCCAAACTGTGTATTCAAGAGCAGATGTTTATTCCACTCATTAGAGAGTGTCATAATTACCTAGTGCTGCTGTAAAGGAAATACCACAAGTGGGTGCCTTTAATAACCCAAAATATATTGTTCCACAGTATAGGAGGTTAGAAGTTTGAAATCACTGTGCCATGGCTAAAGGAAGATTTTTTCTCTCTGTTGGGCCTGTGTGAAGGACTTACCTTTTTTTGTGTGTCATATTTTTTTATTGGTACCCTTACAATCATTCATATACATTATGTTTTATACAATCATTCATATGCATTATATTTCATATACTTAATTACTATTGATGTGTGCCGATTATCCCTCCTTCTCTTGAAGTTCTCGTGGAATAAATTAGAACTGAGATATGGACATTTGTACACTTATGTTCATAGCAGTGTTATTCACAATAAGAAAATAGAAATAGCCCAAATATCCATTAACAAATGAATGGACTGAGAAATTGTGGTACATCCACACAGTAGAATACTATGCAGCACTGACGAACAATGATTTCATGAAATACTATATCACATGGGAGAGTCTAGAGAGCATTATGTTGAGTGAACTAAGTCACATAAGGACAAATACTACATGAGACCACTATTACAAAAACAGAGAGTAATTGAGAAAGAGGTAAGTAAATGTTCAAAAGGGGAAGGGGAGCATTGGGAGTAGGAAAAGGGGAAAAGGAAGATATCACTAGGGTGAACGATTTGTCCTTTTTAAGCTTCAGCCTCTTGTATCTGGGAGGTCCAGCATTTATCTTCTCACTTCCCTCGTGCTTACGTGCTTGCTTGTTCCCCCAGTGTGTACTTTAAACCTCAAAAGAGATTCAGTTCAGCTTCACCAAGCACTAAACCAGTCTCATTAGCATAAACACTTCATGTATTTCCGACTGAGAAAACTACCATAGGTGTAGGGTTAGGATTCACAACCATATTGGGGAGCCACAATTCAATCTCTGTAGGGGAGTATGCTGTTTAATTTTACATGTGGGGCAGATATCCTCAGCTCAGTGCAACATAAGCTTGCTAGAATTACTGTCAAGGACATACAGTTCCCCTTCCCAGGTGCCATTCTACCTAACTCACTCCAGTTTTCCCTCAGATGACCACCACTCAAAATCTAGTCTTCGCGTGGACATTGCCAAAGGACCCTCAAGATTTCTTAATTTGAATATATTTTTTGGTGGAGTGGACTCTGGCTCCCCCAACCCAAGGCTAAGTGCTAAAACAGTGGCTTCTTAGCATCTTCCCACCAGGGAGTATCATTCTATCTCTCAGAAACTTCTCAGAGATAAGCAGCCAGTCACTGCCTGTGATACAGTGCAGTGAGCCAGGCCTCTTTGCAATCCTGCCCCAGCTCAGGGATTTCCATCTGATTCATCCACAATGCCAGAGAAACTTCTGATAGCTGCCTTCTGTTCCAGGGTCAGTCTCTGGGGGCTAAGCCACATATCCTCATGAGCACCCCCTCCCCCAAGCCCCATCTAAACAACCTGTCCCCCCCACTTCCCTTTCCTCACCTCATCCAGCTTAACTTAAAATTCCTTCCCACTGAGAGATGAAAATGGCCCAAGACCCCAGATTCTTGTCTACACTAAGAGGAATCCTGGCATCCCCACCCCTTATTTACTAGTGCCTCAGGGTATGGCGAGGGCCTCAACCTCTTCCTTACTTCACAGTTGGCTATTATAGCCTATTATACATGCTCAGGGGCTGTGAAATTCTGTGCCTAAAAGTCCCCAGTACTAGAGACATCCAAGGTGCAGAAATTTAATTGCCCTTGGGGCAAAGAAGAGCCAGTGAACAAGAAGTCTAAATCATCAGAATTTATTTTCTCTCATATTCTTGTATGAAATAAACACATTCAGATGTGTGTACATTTTATATTTATCAAAATGTATAAGACTTGAGTAACTCCACATTGCTTGCTAATCTGAAGTATTTTACTGTACAATTATCTTAAAGGGTAAAGTTTTCTATTCCACAATGTTGAAATTATATTGATTATGCATATCTCCGAAGTATTGTTAAATGTGGATAAAATCAACTTAAGATAATACAATCTTTGTTAAACAGACAGCAATAACAATCGTATGAGCAAACCATAAACACATGCTAACACAAAATATATGGGGAGTTCTGGTGGCTTTGTGTAAGGAATTGCGCTGCCAACCCAAAGGTATATGGTTCAAATCCACCAGCTGCTCTGTGGGAGAAAGATAGGCAATCTCCTCCTGTGCCTCTGAAAACCTGCTGGAGGGTCAGTTATTAGCTGGTTCCAACTCAATAGTATCCAGCAACAGCATCACACATATGCATATAGACATTTGTTTAATTTCACAATTTTAAAGTTGCTTTAACCTACTTGTTAATTTGTCTTGGAAAATGGGGATGTGTGGTGTGTGTGTGTGTATATGTGTCTTTAACAAGTTAGCTTGTTCCTTAACATTAATAGCAAATATTTTTTACACAGGAGCATTTGTAGATTTTTATTTGTATTATTTACTTTCTAATATGTGGTTTTAAATCCGTCCTGTCTATACTTTGTGGAGGTGTCTTTTTTAAGACTTTCTTTTTTAAGTGTAATGATTCTGTTAAGTTATTCACAGTATACGTTCCTCTCTGAAATTAGTTTACATTATTTACAAACTTAAGTAAATTATATTAAATGAATTGGGGGGGGCAAGTATGAGGGAGATCAATAATCAACCATCTTTTATGTTTCTTTTCTTTGATCTTGTGCTCCCAAACATTTTTTTGCGCTCTCTTAAGCATTTCCATGGATACTCCTGTCTGCTGGCCACCAAAGCTACTTCTGTATCATTATAAAGTACCAAGGATTTTCCATTTCTTTTACCCAAGCAAAATTTTAACCTTTAAATATGAAAAACCCTAATACATTTATTAAGGTCAATTTAGATTCAGAATCTAAAGCTATTTTCAAATTAAAAGGCACAGCATCTGAAATGAAGCTAGAGCTACAAGTGATTCACATATAGCAGGCACACAAGAAGGCAGGCATGTGCCCCCCTCACAGTCCCATCTGGATTCCACTGCTTAGAAGACTACCCGCCACTTTCAACAAGGGGAGGAACCTTCTTCACACTCCACTAGGGTGGGAGGCCTTGCTGGACTTGGCCCTGAATCGGGCCCTGGCCCTGGCATTCACACCAACCCCAGGCCATTCCGCGGATGCTTCTCTCTGTTCCTCATCTTTCCAAGTTTGCAAATACAGGGTTTTGAAAGCGTTCTGGTCCATTTTACGGATCCTGACCAGAAACTCCAGGACCTTACTCTTGTTGGCTTCAGCACAAGCCCTGGGACCCCACAGGAACACATAGCGTGGAGGATCGCTGCCGGGCACCTGGCGGTACTCCAGGTACTGCTCCCGTACCAGATCTTCGGTGAGGAGCTTCCTGGGGTCCCCAAAGATGAAGTGCTTCTTCCCCTTGTAGATTCCCAGGTTACCCAGGAATTCCCAGACATCCTCCTCTTTGGCCTGGTTGTTACTCGCATGCATCATGCCCAGGAGAGGCATCAGCAGGCCATACTTGGGGTACCTTCTGCCACAACTCAGATTCTCTTCCTCACTGAACTCTAATTTGCTGACAATCACGTAGACTTGAGCCTTGGGCTCGACTTCCTTCAGGTCAAGGCCGAAGACCAGCTCCATGTGCTCGGTGGCCCTCTGCAGGAACTCCGGGAAGTGCTCCTTGTACTTCTTGTTGATGATCTTCATCATCTCTGCCTTGGTAATGAGCTCTTTCATTTGGTACTTGTGCAGCAGGAACTGCAGAAACAAGCACATCCTCCTGGCTAGAGGGTCTTTTTGTGGGGTCGCGGCGAGGCCCTCAGAGGAACTTGCACAGGCATCATCTTGGTCCTGGGCAACTTCGTCATCCCCTGTGCAAGAGGCACCTTCAGCAGCCAAGGGAATGGGTGGGGGTCTCTGAGCAACCTGGGGAGTGGGAGGAACAGTGTAGCTCTGGCGAGGAGATGCCCCAGGACGGGGAGCAGAGGAGGGAAAGGAGCCTTCCTCTCCTGCTGCAGTGGCCTGAGTCCCCTCAAGATCTTGGGTGTCTCCTCGCACCTGCTGACATTTCTCCTGGCCAGGGTTCTTACTCCTCGGCTGACTTCGAGGCATGGTGAACGCTGCTACAAGTGTGTGAGGAGAGCAGGTGAAGAAGGAGGGACAGAGTTGGAGAGGACTGAGCTCCTTCAGCAGTTCCCTCAGTCCACACTCAGGGGCCTCACCCGGGGACTCTTGAGCTGTCCTGGGACTTGAGGCTCCTCCCATGATCAGAGACACAACCCCCAAGGCTAAGAAGCCTACCTTCCCACCTCTTAGGCCTTCTGGGCACTTCCCAGATGCAAGTTGAGAGATGTCATTTCTGGTAAAGAGGACAGTCAAGACCTTTGGGGAGCTTGGAGGGCAGAACTCTTGGTCTCTCACTGTTCCTGAGTCAATGACCCTTAGGCCTTTAAACTGCTCACTCTGGGTGCTCGCTCACGCTGATGTCTATCAGAGTTTAGTGTTTCTGCTTATAGGACTGCAGCCCCAGGCTCGGAAGCAAATGTTCACCCTCAGTTCGCTCTCTTCTCTTTGAAAAGTAAAAGAAAAATTGTTTCATTGGTATGCAGATAGTTGTAGTTATGTGGTCAACAGGCAAACACTTAAAGTCTCCAGCTCCAGTCTTTTATTTCTTATTGCTGGAATTTCGTGTGTTTTTTAGGTGACCTCTGACAAATGAAAGGCCCCTTGGAACTCAGCCCCTTCTATTAGCATAGGGAGCACCAAACAAAGCTATTTGACTAAAAGTGTGTGTGTGTGTGTGTGTGTGTGTGTGTGTGTGTGTGTGTGACCCAAATAAAAAAAAAATTCTCAAACTCGTTGTTGAGTCAAAACTGACTCATAACTGATCCGCCAGCAGGTTGTCAGAGCTTTAAATCACACAGAAGTTTGCCCGTTTTTCTGCCTCAGAGTAGCTGGTGGATTTGAACTGTCAAGAGAGGCACCCTCTTTGATATGGGAGTCCATATCCCTATGCATACCACCAGAGCTTCCTCTCAGGCTGAAGTGGCCTGCCATGTCTTCCACAGTGGTCTCAGCGTGGAATTGTCTCAGTCTATAGGGTGCAGCTCTATTTAGACAATGAGAGGAGTTTTGTCCCTAACTAAAGCATGGCCCCTAAGTGCAAATAGGGCAGAAGAGGGGCTATCCTGATAAAGGGGCTCTACCTAGAATACTGACCCAAATAGCATTTCTGAGAAGACCCACACCCTGTACTCCCTGTCTAAGGCTCCATAAGGGGACCATTTTACTCCATTCCGGTAACTGAAGTCTGTTAAGGCAGAAACCTAATTGGTAGCAAGATGAGTTTCCTGAGTGATAGGTTAAAGGGCCACGAACTCGGGAAGAGTAAGGGACAAGAGCCCTGCTCCTACTGTTGACCCACTGACACCACCTAACAGCTTTGGCCTTTGGAGTCCCTTCCCAACAGCCCTTGTTGAATATGATGCCTCCTAACTTCCACAAAGGGAGCTCCCAGGCTCAGAGAGGCAGGAAGGTGGGCTTCTGAACTTGGGAGCTAGGGTTTCTCATCATGCATGGGAGGAATATGGGGCCTCAGGACTGGTGGGGAGTCCAGCTGGAGACTCTGAATATGGCCTGAGGGAACTTGCTGTGCTGAAGAAAGTCAGCCTTCTGTACTTCTACACTTCAGTGGACCTACTTCATCCGTCCTCCCACACTTGTACCAGTGTCATCATGCCTTAAGATCAGAAGAGTAAGTACCATGAGAGGCCTCCACTGAATCCAGGCGAGAACAGACCTCTCTGTCCTGTCATGGCTGAGAAGGCTTGCCTGAGTTGATGGTATGGGAAAGATATTGTGCCAAGATTAATCCATACAGGGCTCAGAAGGTCATGAGATGTAAACAGCAAGATAGCAGAGAGTAGAGGTGCGGAGAGCTAGGATTTTCCAACAGTTGATAGGATAGTCCTGAAAATGAATTGAGAAGACCCCACAACCACCACCACCACCAAGTAACCCAGGACAGAGAATCTCTACTTTTAACACCTACTTTCTCCCCAGACAGTCTCAAGAAAGGCAGTCAGGCTGCAACTTCAACCTGGCACTAATTTCAGCCACAGGGTCCTGAGGAGAGAAGCCTTGGGAATTCCTAGGGAAGTGGCTGGAAAGAGTTCTCTGGAAATCGGGGTTCTTAAAGCTGAAAAGGTATCTCTCTGCTGAAGGGACACAGCACTCTTAGCATCCTTCCTCCAGTGGGCCCCTACCATCTGTCCTCCTCCCGCATCCCTGCCAGTGCCGTCCTGCCTCCAGGTCAGAAGAGTAAACACTATGCCTGTGAGAAATGCCACTAGGCTCGTGACATCCATGCTTCTGAGGGTCGTCAGGCCCCTGCAAGGAAGTCTTTTCTCTCTCCTCATCTCCCCCTCATGGAGCTTCTCCTCAGTGTTCTCCTGGTCCCTCCTTCACTGCCTGGGGTCCTCAGAAACCCCCGTCTACTCCTACTGCTGCTGCAGCCGGAGAAGATGCCCAGGGCCAAGATGGTGGTGCAATTTCCTCTGAGGCCACTGCTGGGGGCTTCCAGAGAGATCCTCTCATCATCAAGAGGATGAGCTTGTTGCTGCAGTTCCTGTTGCACAAGTGCAAGATGAGAGAGCCCATCACCAAGGCAGAGATGATGAAGATCATCAACAAGAAGTACCAGGAGCGCTTTCCTGAGGTCCTGCACAGAGTCTCTGAGCACATGGAGCTGGTCTTCGGCTGTGATTCCGAGGGACTTTATGAATCACAGATCTGTCCCTGTACCATCCTCGCCATCTCAGAAGTACTCGAGCCCGTTACTGTAGGTCTATCTGTGCCTCGGCTTCAGCCTAAAACAATATCGGGGATGGAGGTGCTGTTCTTGGGAAGACGATCGAGATGGAGGAGTTATAGGAAGTCTAGCGAGAATGACGTGTTCCCAGCGTGAATGGGGCCTCCCATAGCTCCGCCCCTGCTCTGAGCTCAATAGTGACAGCCGTGTGTGTGTGCAACGCCATGACACTTCTCTCGTTCAGAGCACGAAGCCCCGACCCCTGTTTCCAGGTCGGGCTCATGTTGATGGATGTAGGAACTCCGCATCGAAACTGGAATTGAGGTGAGAAGCCTCAGTGAGAAATGAATGAATTCCCCCAGTAGAGAACACTGGTGTCTCTCCCAAGTTTTCCAGACCCGCCACTCCTCATTTTGCCTGTGTTGTTGTTGTTGAGCATAGGTACCATCCAGTAGACTAGAACACATAGTGACTCTATGAACAACAGATTTGAACCTAATATTATATACCAATATGAATGCAGAAATATCATATACCAAACATTAGTTGTGGGAGTATTCCCTTTTGTCTGCCCATATCTGTTCACCTTGCCTATTTGCTTAAAAATCAACCTATAGATTTCTATTTATCATGGCTGATAATGGAAGATTATGCATGGAATGGATTCTTTTTTGTTGTTGAGTCCCATTGAGTTGGAACCAACCCATAGCTGACCAATTCAGAGGCAGTAAATTGCATGGGAGGAGATTGTCCATCTTTCCTCTTCAGACCAGCTGGTAGACTTGAACTACTTGCCTTTGGGTTGGCAGGGCAGCTCCTTACCAGGAATTGCACTGCCAACACAAAGGTGGGTGGTTTGAATCTACCCACCAGCAGCTCTGTGAGGGGGAAAGATGAGAAATCTCCCGTGGAATTTACTACCTTTGAAAACCCACTGGAGGGTCAGCTGTGGGTAGGTTCCGACTTGGAGGGAACACAACAGCAGTATTTCCCGTTGTTGGTGGTATTTCTCATGCATCCCCGTATGTCTTCCTTTTTTTTTTTTTTTTAAGTGCTACTGCATGTATCGTCTCCTTATTTTCCATTATCTTTCTCTTCAGTAAGTCATTGCTGTGGTGTTGGAACCAACATTTAGCTGACTTTCGGAGGTTTTGAAGCACATGAGAAGAGATGCCCATCTTTCTCCCACGGAGCCACTGATGAATTTAAACCATCAGAAGTGCTGGTTTTGGGTTGGCAGCACAGCTCCCTAGCACCACACCACCAGAGCTCCAGGTTGGTGTTCTGTTTTTATTTTTACTTGACATTTCCCCTTCATCCACCTTGATATACATTGTTAGCCAACACCACAATTCAAAGGCATTGATTCATCTTCTGACATCCTTATTAATTGTAAATAATAGATGCATATTTAGGTGGTCTTCTCGGTTACTTGTTATGCTTCAGAGAGCTGGGACTAAGGATGACCGAAGAAGAATTGATTCCTTCTAGTTGTGGTGCTGGGGTGAGTCTTGAACAATCCATGGACTTCCAAGAAAACAAAAAGGTCTGTCTTGGAGAGGGTGAAACTGAGTCTGTCCTTGGAGACTAGGATTTTGAAGCTCTGTCTCACATACTTTGGGCCAGGAGAGACTGGTCCTTGGAGAAGGACATCATGCTCGAAAGGGTGGAGGGACAGAGCAGGAGAGGAAGACCCTGAATGAGGTGAATTGATAAAGTATGTGGGGCAATGGGGGTTGGTGTGTTGGAATTAGTGAGACGGGCTCAGGACAGGGCAGGCTTCAGAGATGCTTTACATAGGATTGCTACAGGTCACAGGCGACTCAATGGCACATAACAGCAACAACATACTATATTGGTTGTTTTTTTATTTAAGCCTCTTGTTTAGAGTCAACAAGACCTAGAAAAGGGCCTCTGTATTTAAAAATTGGTTGTTACTATATTTTGGAAGACCATTCTTCTGAGTGGTTCAGCACTCTTCTGTCAATATGCAGGACCGAGGTAACCTGGGGTTGCTGTAATGCTGAACCTTGTGCCATTGGGGTGTCAAGTGACAAAACGGTTACCCATGGTGGACAGTGTTAGGTGGAGCTACCAGTTTAAGACAGGTTTGGAAGCAGGAGTGGCATCCACCTCCTAAACAACATGCCTCTGGAAACTCTATGAACTTTGATGAATGTACTTTTAGAAAGGCTTAAGTCTTCTGTTCATAGGGTCACTATGCTTTGTGCTCGACTTAATGGCAATCAACAACAACAACAACATTAAAGTGAATGTGATTCCCCGTCTCACCTCCCATTAAAAAAAAAGTTTCTAGGTATAAACTTCCTCTAGCATTTTATAATAGTGGACTTTTGTTATTTATCCTTCTGTAACTGACTTTGCTAGATTTACCCACCTTATGATTCTCAAATTCTTCGTTATTCTTCATGCTGCATAGCATTCTATTGTGCCTATGTATTTATTGATTCATCAAACTTGGGACATTTGACTTGTTTAGTATACCTGGTAGTGAGCATGCTCACTCAAATGGGTCAGTTCTATTTCTAACCTTTTCAGGGTGTGCTACCCTTGTCCACAGTGGATATACCATTTTACAGTCCCACCAGAAATGATGAAGAGTTCCAATCTTCCCACATTGCAGCCAGCATGTTTTAAAATTTGTCTTATTAAACTTTGCTATTGTTTTTGGGCTTTTCTCAGTGTTATTCTGATTTTCACCTTTTCCAATAGTTAATAATCTTTCCAGCAGCTAATAATCTTTCCAATAGCTAATAATCGCAACCATTTCTTCATGTGTTTATGGCCATCTGAATGTCTTTGTTGGTAAAGTGTCTCCTGATGTGTCTTGCAGATTTTTTAAAAATGAGGTTAGTGGTCTTTTTGCTGTTGAGGCCTTTGAGTTTTCCTTAATTTTAGAAATTAGTCCCTTGTCAGATGCACGTTGTTGTGTACAGTCGAGTCAGAACTGACTTATAGCTGACTCATAGACAAAACTGACTCACAGCAGGTTTTCAGAGGCAGTAAATCACATTGGTGGGGACTGCCCACATTGCTCCCGTGGAGCTGGTGGTGGATTCAAACCACCTGTCTTTGAGTTGACAGTGCAGCTCCTTACCACCGAACCACCTGAGCTTCTTGACAGATAATTACGAAATATTTTCCCAATGTATAGATTAAAAATTTTTTGTTATTTATAAGCCTTTTAATCTATGTAGGATTTAGTTTTTAGAAGGTCCCAGCCATCAAGTCAGTTTTCTGTTGTTGACACATTTTTTTAATGTTTATAGTCAATTAATGCCATAGACTAAGGCCTCTGGATTCTTTAAACTTTAGGATCTTTATAGTTTTAGGTTGTATATTTATGTATTGCTCCATTTTGAGTTAGGATTTTTAACACATTGCCGCACACTTTTAAATTGACTGCCGTGCTTAGAAACACATTCCCCACCCCCCCAACCCCATTGTATTACAGTCATTTGCAGCTGCGTGTTAATATGATGTGAAGTGTGGATCTTGTTTCAATTTTATGGGAATAAGTAGGTATCCAGTTTTACTGTCCCTTTTGTTAAAGAAGTACTTTTCCCAACTTAATGGTTTTGGACTCTGTCAAAGATCAGCTGTCCATATTATTGTTATTGTTGTTGCTAAGTCCCACCCAGTTGTCTACTACTCTTTGCAACCCAACAGATCTGAATCATCCTCACAATCTGCCTTGCTGGAACCCATTGTTATAGTCACTGTGTCAGTCTGTCTTGTTGAGGTTCTTCCATTCTTTCTCTGACCCACCCCCCAACTTTCCCAGCATGATGTCTTTTTTTCCAGGGACTGGCCCCTTCTGAAAAGATAACCAATGTGAGATGATGTTTTTCTGAACTTCCCTCACAATGTACTTACTGTTCCAGCCATTTTTAAATAATCTTTTAGTATGATTTTACTTGCATGTGGTATCAGCACTTGCATCTACCTGTGGACTCTTGTATAAGTGGTGAGTTTAATTCTGGGTTGTCAATTCTGTTCCATTGGTCTTTACATCTGTAATTGTACCAATACCAGACTGTTGTCACTGCTCTGGCTGTGGAGTAGGTTTTGAATCTAGAAGTGTAAGGCCTCCTACTTTGTTTTTCTTCTTTAGTAGTGTTTTTTGTGTCGAGTGTCTCTTTCCTTTGCATATAAAGTTAATGATTGTTTTTTCCATCTCTTTGAAGAGTTATGCTGAGGTCTAAATTGAAATTTCATTTTATCTATAGATGCCTTTTGATAGTATTCACACTTTCTTCATGGTAAGTCTTCTTATTCCATTTATTTAGCCCTTTTGGGTTTTTATAGTAGTGTTTTGTAATTTTCTTTGTGGAAAGAGAATACAGAGTCACTGAACTGAAAGGAATTGGCAGACACAGAAGAATTTGATGAAACAACATATGAGCAAGAGCCTGTGTTGATGAAGGAAGAAGTTCAAGCTGCTTTGAAAGAATTGGCAAAAAAAATAAGGCCCCAGGAATGTATGGTATACCAATTGACATATTTCAGCTAACAGGTGCTGCCCTGAATGTGCTCACCAAGTTGTGTCAAGAAATCTGGAGGACAACCACTTGGCCAACTGACTGGAGGAGATCTATATTTGTTCCCATTCCAAAGAAGGGTGACCCAAGAGAGTGTGGGAATTATCGAATAATATCATTGATATCACACACAAGCAAGATTCTGCTGAAGATTATCCAAAAACCACTGGAACAGCACATCAACAGAGAACTGCCAGAAGTCCAGGCTGGGTTTAGAAGGGGTTGTAGTACTCGGGATATGGTAGCTAATGTTAGATGGATTTTGGCTGAAAGCAGGGAGTACCAGAGGAATGTCTTATCTTTGTACCATTGACTATGCAAAGGCGTTTGACTGTGTGGATCATAACGAACTGTGGCTGACTCTGAGAAGAATGGGAATCCCAGAACACTTGATCGTGTTAATGCAAAACCTATACTTGGACCAGGAGGCAGTCGTCAGAACAGAGCAAGGAAACACTGCATGGTTCAAAATTGGCGTGTACGCCAGGGATGCGTTCTATCTCCATACCTTTTCAACCTGTATGCAGAACAGATTATCCAGGAGGCTGGGCTGTATGAGGAGAAGTGTGGCATCAGGATTGGTGGAAGATTCATCAACAACTTGCATTGTGCAGATGACACAACCCTACTTGCTGAAACCGAGGAGGACCTGAAGCACTTGCTGCAGAAGGTCAAGCTGCAGCAGCCTTCAATATAGATTGAGGCTCAATATCAAGAAGACAAAGATTCTCACCACAAGGTCAGTTGGCAGCATCAGGATGGATGGTGAAGAGATTGAAATTTACAAGACATATTGTGATGGGAAAGTCTACTATTAGGGACCTCTCCAAAGTACTGAAGAGCAATGCTGTCACTCTGTAGACTAAGGTGCACCTGATCCACAGGCCATGGTCTTTACAATCACTTGCTATGTATCAGAAAGTTGGACAATGACTAGGGAGGATAGAAGGAGAATTGATGGCTTTGAGCTGTGATGTTGGAGAGTATTGAATATACCATGGACTGCTGAGAAAATGAACTGGTTTTTCCTGGAGAGGGTGAAACCAGGCTGTTCCTTGGAGGCAAAGATTCTGAAGCTTTGTCTGACATACTTTGGACATGTTGCAAGGGGGGACCAGTTCTTGGAGAAGGACATCATTCTTGGGAGGGTGGAGGGACAAGTGCAGGAGAGGAAGACCCTCGATGAGCTGGATTGATTCCGTGTTTGGGGTAATGGGAGTAGGTGTGTTGGAGGCAGTGAGATTGGCACAGGATAGAGCAGGGTTTAGGACTGTTATGCACAGGGTCGCTATGAGTTGCAGGTGACTCGACTGCACATAACAACCACCACAACAAGGTCTTTTGTATCTCTGCTTAGATTTATTTGGAAGTATTTAATCTTTTGGGTGATTATCTAAATGGTATTAATTTCTTTATTTGTTTTAGTTGGTTCCCTTTCATGCTGTTGAGGAATCCGACTTTTTATGTTGATCTTGTACCCTGCCACTTAATCTTCTTGCCGACTTCATTTGATTCTCCTTACATTGAATCACATCATCTATAAACAATTTTACTTCTTTGCCCGTTTAGAGACTCCCCCCCCCTTTATTGCTTTAGTGCTCTGGCTAGGATTTAAAATAAAATATTAAACAATCATAGAAAAGAAAGGACATCCTTTTCTGGGTGCCTTTCGCAAGAGGAATGATTGTGGTCTTTCTGGAGACTAATGTTGGTTTTGTGTAGCCCAGTGGTGAGAATCTGCGCTGCAATCCCAAAGACACGTGGTTCAAATCTGCAAGCTGCCCCACAGGATGGACAGTCTCCTCTTGTGTGATTAACTGCCTCTGAAAACCCTCTGGAGGATCAGCTGTGGGTCGCTTCCAACTTGATGGTACACAACAACAAGAACAATGACTCTTAAATATGCTGAGAAATTTCTCCTCTGCTACTATTTGGTTGACTTTTTTTTCTCAGGAATGCCACTTTTTTTTTTCCTATATGTGGCAGCCCTGGGGTATTGGGCACAATGAATGGGGAGTTTCTAGACAGGATGAGATAGGATAGTTTCTCTTTGTACGAGTGGCAGTCCTGGATTGGGTATGATGAGATAAGGTGTAGCGTTCACTTGTCCTGGGACCTGGTCAAAATGGGACACCCTAGGTGAGGGCCTTGATGGAGGATGAAGGTGTCCAAGGAACTCAGCACAGAATAGGCTGCATTGTGCTGTCCCTGTTGACTCCTCCCCATTTCTAGGAGTGGTGACTGAACTTCTCTGTCATTTCCTCCGTGTGGCTCTCAGAGGCATTTGAAGTATCAGCATCAGAATAGCAGAGGGTAAGAGCCCAGGCGTGTCCTGGTAGCAGCTGTTGATATGATAGTGCTGAAAATGAGTTAATAAGACCTCACTCTTACTAACCCCGTGTATACAATCCCCACTCATAGTCCCTGCTGTCACCTCAAGAAGTCCCAACTTTACTCTTCATTTCTTCCACAGGACCCAGAAGAGAGGAGCCTTGGGAGTTCCTAGAGCAGTGTCAAAGAATTCAGCAAAGCAGTGATTGTTGGAGCCAAGAAGGCAACTCTCTGCTCAGAGAGCTCAACCTTCCCCACCTTTGCTCTTCCAGCTTCACCTGTCATTCAACACATCTATCAGTGTTCATCATGCCTCGAGGTCAGAAGAATAAGCACCGTGCCCATGGAAAACGCCACCAGGTTCAAGGTGATTCCCATGCTCTTGAGGGTGCTCAGGCCCCTGCAGCAAAAGAGGAAGGCTCCTCTCCCTCCTCATCTCCTCCTCGTGAGGCTTCTCCGTACTTAGCTGCCTATCTCTTCTCCCTGGGGCCTCATAGACTCCCACCCATCCCCACTGTTGGTGCAGATGCCTCTGGCACAGGAGCAGATGAAAGTGCCCAGGGCCAAGACGACAGTGCAAGTTCCTCTGGGGGCCCCCAGAGAGATCCTCTCATCAAGAGGATGAGCTTCTTGCTGCAGTTCCTGCTGCACAAGTACAAGCTGAGAGAGCCCATCACCAAGGCAGAGATGATGAAGGTCATCAACAAGAAGTACAAGGAGCGCTTCCCGGAGATCCTGCAGAGGGCCACCGAGCACATGGAGCTGGTCTTTGGCCTTGACCTGAAGGAAGTCGACCCTGAGTCTCAGTCCTACGTCCTGACCAGCACTGTGGAATTCAGCAGAGAAGAGAATCTGAGTAGTGGCACATTTCCCAAGTACGGGCTGCTCATGCCTCTTCTGGGCATGATGCACTTGAGTGACAACCAGGCCAGTGAGGAAGAGGTCTGGGAATTCCTGAATAGGTTGGGCGTCTATGATGGGAAGAGGCACTTCATCTTTGGGGAGGCCAGGAAGCTCCTCACCAAAGATCTGGTTCAAGAAAAGTACCTGGAGTACCGTCAGGTGCCCGGCAGTCACCCTCCATGTTACGAGTTCCTGTGGGGTCCCAGGGCCTACACTGAAGCCTGCAAGACCAAGGTCCTGAAGTTCCTGACCAAGCTCAATGACGTGGACCAGAATGCCTTCCAAACCTTGTATCTGGAAACTTGGAGAGATGAGGAAGAAAGAGAAGCCGGCACAGGCTGGCCTGGGGTCGGGATGAATGCCAGGGCCAGGGCCCGATTCAGGGCCAAGTCCAGCAAGGCCTCCCACTCTAGAAGAGTGTGAGGCAGATTCTTCACCTTGTTGTTGTAAGTGGCGGGTAGTCTTCTAAGCAGTGGAATCAGCGTGGGGCTGTGAGGGGGCACATGCCCGCCTTCTTGGGGTCCTGCTGTATGTGAGTAACTTGGAGATCTAGCTTGATTTCAGATGTTGCATCTCTTTTAGTTGGCAATTTCTTTAGATTCTGAGCCTAAATTCATCCTTTTTTTCTATTTATTGCTTCCTTAAAAAATTTTGAATGTAAGGTTTTATGTTTGATGAAATAGAAAATGCTCTAGTTCTTCTCATTTGTGATCCAGAGGGTACCTAAGGTTGCGTGGCAGCAGAGACATCCTTGGAAATGGTGGAAATGGTGAAGAAGTCCTCAGGAAGGAGTTGAGAGCATGAGATTCCAGGGGGAAAAAGACAAAAAATAAAATACAAAAGGTGGTTGATCGTTGGGTTCCCTTATACCTTTTGGCAAGAGTTAAATGTACACGAGCCTGGAAGTGTTCATTTGAGAAGAGAGAAAATAAATTGTTATGATTTAGACCTCTTGTTCATTGGCTCTCATTTTTCTTAAATGACAATTGAACGTCTGCTCTTTGTATGGCTTCACTTTGGTCTTGGGGACTTTGGGGCTCAGCAGTTAAGATAGTCTCGAAGATCTATTTAAGTTCTAAAAATGAGCGAGGACTTCAGGATTCCCCCTATGTAGATGACAGTTGGGGGCCTTCGGGCCACCTGGATCTCTCAATGGGAGGGAATTTTAAGTTAGGCTGTGTGTGCAGCAGGGGAATTTTAAGGGGTAAGTGTGAGGTAGAGGTGTGTGTGGGGGGGTTACTCTATTGGCCTGAAAGGGAAATGTGCAAGGATAGATGTGGCTCTGCCTTAGGAGACTGACCTTAAGATGGAAACAGATACTCACCAATTACTCTAACATTATGGACAAACTGTTCTGTGCTCTTTTTCTGGTGTCCTTGAACATAACACTGGCTGGTCGTTTGGGGCACACTCCCTGCCTGGTAGCAGGAATGCTGCTCTGAGTACTATACTAATAAAGGTTGGCGAGTCAAGCCCACCTGAAAGTGCCAAGATAGAAAAGCCTGGCCAATCTGGTCTGGTTAAGCGTGCAGCTCTGGGCAGGGAGATAAGTGCGGCAATGAATGAATGGAAATCCAAAACCTCTGTAAATGTCTATTAAAATTAATAAAAAAAGAGTGCAGCTCTGAAAACCTTGTGGGTGGGTATACATCTACTCTGTACCGCCTGGGGCCCCAGTTGGCTGCAGTCACCTAGCCAGCGATCTTAAATTTATTATTTGATTTTTTCCTTCCTAAACTGCATTTTTGCCAGATTGGGTTTTCTTTGTCCCAGGGTAGTGCATAATGTGAAAACACATGCTGGAGAAAACACATTTTCAGACAGGAGGGCTGTGAAAACATACATAGCAACAGCTGCCGTTTTGTTAAAAGGTCCAATATTTGGAAGTCACTTTGCGGGGGTAGGTGGGGGTCATTAACATTTCTTGCATCATCATGCCTGACAAAGGTCAGGTATCAAGATGTACACAGTAACAGCAAAATCAAGATGTATGGTCCAGAACAGAGATCACACCAAATCCCCCTGCTGTGGAACCCAGGAGGCTTAAGGCAGAGTGGTTAGGATGAGCTGTCCATTAATTTCTGCCTTGAGGGTACCCAGTGGTGAGGAGCATGCCTGAGTAGTTCTACTTAGGAAAAAGATTCTGACCCTGAGAGACATGACAAGGACTTTGAGCACTACAGTGGAACGGTCTACAAAAGAGCCTCTGCAGAGATCACTGACACTCCCACTCCCACACCCGCAGCACTGCTGGGACGCCCCAGGCAGTGGGTGGCACACAGCATGTCCTGTCATGTCCCCTCCTGCCCCCCTGGACCTCTTGTTTAAAGCCTGGGCAAGAGAGGCAGGGACACCAGGCTCCAACTGGCATCTGGATGGAGACTTGAGTGAGCAGCAGCAGAGACCACCGTCTCTGGGAAGTGGCCGCTCTCTGAGGTCCCTCTGTAGCCTCCACTGAGTGTGACAAGTCCTGACCTCCACCTGCTGGGGGTGCTCAGTCGTTTAAGTGTCTGCTCTGTGGGGGCTGTGGGCTCTTTGCCACTAGAACAGCCTCAAGTGCTAGCAACGGTCGGGGTCCAGGTAAGGGCCTGTGTGCAGACAGAGGGGTCTACCTGGGGGTCAACCCAGCCTGGTAGCCCTGAGACCTTTCAGCCAGGGTGCCACTCAACTCCTGGAGATACTCAAGAGGGTGGGGTCATGGGCCCCCCAGTGTGTAGAGGGGGCCAAGGAGGGGCACTTGTGGCAGTGAGGACCCCAGTGTTCCTGAGTGCCATCCTTCCAGCAGAGGTGACCACATGACTGCTGTCCCAGACGAGGGCAACCTGCACTAACCACACACCACAGAGGCCCCCATTTCTGCCCTAAAGTCAGGTTGCTATGAGTTTTCCTGTCACTGGAAGATCTGTGTCCTGAAGAGGATGGAGACCTAGATCGTAGATCCCAGAACAGGGTGCCTGGCAGGGATCCTAAATCCTCATAGAGAGTGTTCCCTACAGAGGGAGCATGGGTACAGCTCAGCCAGGCCCTCTGCTCTGCGGGTCCCCTGATGGGGAAGCCACAGGTGGAGCACTTTGACCCCTTTCCAGGGAAATGAGGGCTTCAGTCCCCACAGGAAGCCCCACTGCTGCTGTTACCAAGACCCAAGTGACAGAGGGCAGAGTCCTGAGTCTCCCAGCCATGCCAATCCCTTCCCTCAGACCCTGGAAGAGCTGCCTGCTTGCAGCCTAACCTTGTCCATCTTCCTGTACAGGGCTTTCAGGGTCTGCTGACTGGGAGAAAGGGAGCCTGAGGGATCCTAAGGAAACCACTTCCTGCTGAAAGAGGAGCGAGCTCCTCAGCCTTAGAGGGTCTGCATCACCTGTGATTGCCCCCAGAATCTTGCCTGGCTCCCTTGTCCGGTGTCACCATGCCTCGTGGTCAGAAGAGTAAGCTCCGTGCCCAAGAGTCCCGTGTCCAGGCTCGAGCTGCAAGTCACAGGATGGAGGGTGCTCAGGCCACTGCAGCTGCTGAGAAAGGGTCCCTCTATCCCTCTCCTCCTTGTGAGGATTCTCCCCAGAGCTCCCGGGCTGCTGCCATCCTCCAGGGTCCTCAGGGAGACCCCTCCACCAGCAGTGCTGCTGCAGGTTCTTCTTACACTGGGGCTGAGGGAGGGGCCCCGGCCCCAGATGAGCGAAGGCCAAGTTCCTGTGATGCTCCCCCCTCTGCTGACAGCTACCAGAGGGATCCCTTGATTAGGGAGGCAGATGTTTTGATGCATTTCCTGTTGAAGAAGTATAAAACGAAAGAGCCCGTGATGAAGAAAGAAATGATGATGGCCATCAACAAGAAGTACAAGGTGAACTTCCCTGAGATCCTGAGGAGAACCTTGGAACAGATGGAGCTGGTCTTTGGCCTTATCCTGAAGGAAGTGGACCCCAGCACTCGATCCTACATCCTCATCAGCAAGTTCAGCATCACCAATGAAGAAAGTCTGAATAATGATGGCGAGTTTCCCAGGAATGGAATCCTGATGCCTCTCCTGGGCATAATCTTCTTAAAGGGCAACCGGGCCACTGAGGAAGAGATGTGGGAATTCCTGGGTATCTTAGGGCTCTTTGATGGTAGGAAGCATGTAATCTTTGGGGAGCCCAGGAAGCTCATCACCCAAGATCTGGTGCAGGAAAAGTATGTGGAGTACAGGCAGGTGCCCAGGAGTGACCCTCCACGCTACGAGTTCCTGTGGGGTCCCAGGGCCCACACTGAAACCAGCAAGATGCAAGTCCTGGAGTTTTTGGCCAAGATCAAGAATACCACACCCAGTGCCTTCCCAGCGCAATATGAAGAGGCTTTGAGAGATCAGGAAAGGAGGGCCAGAGTTACAGCCAGGTCTAGGGCTCCTGAAACAGCCTGTGAGCTTCCCAGAGGCACCCAGGGCAGACCTTCCAGCCCTAGTCAAGTCTGAGGCCATTATTCCTTTGAGGTCCAAAACAGAAGTGGTGGGCAGGCTGGGGCTGAGCTGGAGAAAGCATCCTATTGAACCTCTTTTCCTTTCTCTTGTACATCAGTAACTTCGTCCTTTTCCTTTTGATGTTTTCCACATTTTATTCTCATTATTAACTTTATGATCTAGATTACACAATTATTTCACTTTATTGATACAAATTTTGAGAGCATGGGTTTTAGCATCTTTCTAAAACAATCAGAAAAACTTGCATCTTTTTGCAGGGTGGGGCGAATGTAGGGTCTAGAACAAGGTAACATTGCTTTGCAAATGAGATTTTCTCAGCAATGTGACTGCATCTCACAAATAGCATATTTGGTATAATAAAGTAGCATAAGGTCAGTTTTTGTTTTGTCTTATTCACTTCTCTGTTTCTATTTGTAAAAGTAAAGCATATATATGTTGGCTACCTTTGCATAAGAATATGGATGAAGAGTGGACTTTGTGGGAGGGATTGTATAACAATGAAAGAATTTTTTTTTCTTTTACTTTTCAAAGAGAAGAGTGAATTGTGAGGGAGAGGTGGGCAGGTAGAAAAGTGCAACAATGAATGAATAGAAATCCAAAGTCTCTGTAAACTTTCATTAAAATTAATTAAAAAAATAAAATAAAAATAAAAAGGCCCTGTTGAGTGGCTCATTTATTCCTTGTTTTTCACTGAGTATTGGTTCTTTCAAACTGTCTTTTCTAGTCCTGAGTAATGTGGGATAATTAAGACCCATCTCTGCACAACGATGTCTAGAATGAAGGAGCAGCTTCCGGAGAAAGAAGATGGTAAGATACTCTCTGTGACCAAAAGGCAGTAATAAAATGGGACCAAGATCAAGGACGTTTCAAGGAGAGCAGGCCCTGAGAAAGGGCAGTCTGGGGCTTTGATCTCTTGGGAGCTTAGGGGTGAGGGGATTGAAGTCAGAGGGTACTAAATGGAGGTGAGGGAGCGGTGCACCAGGGCAGACACATAATGTATTTGAGGACACAGAGGCTGAACTGGAAAGCAGCTTCTAATAGTTAATTTCATATTTTAGATAGCCCAGAGAAAAGTCTCTGAGTAGGGTAGGAACTGGAAACAGATGCTGAAAAAAAAAGACAAGGCCCTTCACCCAGATTCCTCAGACAGACGATTCTTTCCCTTGGAGCTGGCACCCTGAATTCAGACTTCTAGCCTCCTAACTTGTAAGACTGGAAAGTGTCCCACGCTCTTGTCCTAGGGATTTATAAGCATGCCTTGCCTGGCTGTCTTACGCACAGTTCCTGAGAAACAAGGGTGATGTTTTCATGAGGTTAAATGTCTAGAAGTTCCAATACACTTTATGCCGGACTGCGAGCCTGGAACCCCATAACAGCATTCAAACTCCGTTATCCTTGACAGACTGCAGGTGAAGACTGGAGCTTTGACTGTGGTGAGATGAATGGAAACAGGGGTGATTTAGGTGGACAGGCAGCTGGAAAGAGTAATTTTGGCAACTGACGAGAATTCCAGGAACTCTCTGTTCCCTCCAGCTGAGCAAGTCTACCTCGACCCATATTAACCAAGGTACTTAGATTGAATCATGTTCCCCCCAAACAGGTAGGTTTTGTAAATCCTAAAGCCCATACCAGTAGTTAAGATCTCATTTGGAAATGGGTTTCTTTGTTATTTTATTTTAATGTAGAGTTTGCCTCAAGTCAGTTTATTTTTGAGATACCAGGATGCTGATTGAGCAAACAAGATGAGGGGCAAGAGATGCCACACCCCAAGAGCTCACCAGGAATCCAAGAAACAGCTACTGGGAAAAGACAAAGACCCTTCCCCAGAAACAACAGAGAAAGACATTTCCTCTGGAGCAAACACCCTGAATTTTAACATGTAGCCCCCTGAACTGTGAGGAAACGCATTTCTGTTTGTGAAAGCCACTAGATTGTGGCATTGCAGATAAAGCAGGAGCTGTTGTTGTTGTTGTGTGCCATTGAGTCTCTTGCGACTCATAGCGACCCTATGTACAAGAGCCCTAAACTCTGCTCTATCCTGTGCCAACCTAGCCATCTCAAACGCACTCATTCCCATCACTCCACTCACAGAATCGATCCATCTCATCGAAGGTCTTCCTCTCCTGCGCCACCCCTCCACTGTGCCAAACATGATGACCCTCTCCAAGGACCAGTCCCTCCTTGCAACATGCCCAAAGTATGTCAGAGGAAGCCCCAAAATCCTTGTCTCCAAGGAGCAGCCTGGTATAACCCTCTCTAGGATAAATCTGTTTGTTTTCTTGGCAGTCCAGGGTACTCTTCTCCAGCACCGCAGCTCAAAGGCATCAATTCTCTTTCTGTCGTCCCTATTCACTGTCCAACTCTCTGATGCATATCACATAATAGCGAAGATTATAGCCTGGAGCAGGTGCACCTTAGTCTCCAGCCTGACATCGTTGCTCTTCAGTGTGATAATGAAAAAGATGGTCCCCGCTGGGTCGTGAGAAGTGTTGCCCTTGGCTATGGACCTAAATGTTGACTGTGAGAGCTCACTCAAGGGCACCACAGAAGGAAGGCCTGGCAGTCTGTTTCTGTAAACATCCGACCAAGATAACAATGTAGGACAGTTCTGCTCTAATGCACAGGGCCACCTGACTGGATGGCAAAAACAATTTAAAACATTAGTTTTCAATTTAAGCAGTCTTTTGTCTCTACTATATCCTAGAGAAAACAACAACAACAACAACAAAATGTCTCAGCAGGTTGGCTATCTAATCAAAATGGAATCTGAGGTTGTAAATCACATGGGAGGAGGTTGGCCACCTTTCTCTCAAGGAGGATTCAAAGGGCCTCACCTTTCAATTACCAACTCACCTCCTCATGCACTACATAATGAGAGCTCCCCGCTCCAATCCTAAGATGAGCATATTGCACAGAATTCAGCCTTTGTTTTAAGCCTGGGAGCGTGCCAATAGACATATCATCCCAAAGGGAAGGACTGTTGTTGAGTACCCTTAGGTTAGAATCAACTCATAGCTGACACTCCAGTGGGTTTTGAGAGGCATTAAAACTCATGTAGCAGAGTGCCAACCTTTCACCCGCAAAACAGCTGGTGGATTAAAACCCACTTGCCTTTGCATTGGTAGCAAAAAAAAATTTTTTTTTTTTTTTGGCAGAAAGGGTCTGAGGAAGGGAGGTCTTGACCTACAAGCATCAGCCCCATTACGTGGAAGGAATACATAACTGGTGTTAGGTGTGCACCCTGAGTATTAATGGGGATAAATCACCGCCGAAGAGGCCGAGCCCAACACATCTGAGCCTTCAGGGACTCTTGGGAGCCCCCATAGGTGGTGCGTCCAGGAGGGAGGCCAGGATTTTCCCTGTGGGGCCTCCTAGTGAAGACTGATGTGTTAAGTCTGTGGCTCCCTTCAGTCCTCATGGGTGAGAAACCTAGGCTCTGAAAGACTTAAAGGTGAGAGACCACTGGTTCCAAGAGGTTGGGGTCCCATTATCTGTGCCCCTACTGTCAACACTCCGGGTCTCTCAAAAGCCTTGGCCCTCACAAGCACTCCGCCCACTTCCCCCACCCCCGCTCCCTGCCCCCGCACCGCCCCCATTAACATTAGCGGGTCTGCACCGCCCCCCATTAACATTAGTGGACCTGATGGCTCCTGGCTTGAATCCTTTCAGTCCTTTCTGCCTCATGGAACAGTGAGTTGCATTGCCTGAAGATTCCCCCCCTTGAGGGGCTTGTGGACCACCAGCAGTGGCCTGGAGTCAAGGTGAGGACTCCGACTGGGGACTGGGAGATCGCTCCCCAGAGAACAAAGCTACCCCGCCTCCAGCTCCCCTCAAAGACCCCATGCTGCTTTGAGCCGCAGGACACCTCAGCAGAGCTATCTGGCTGAAATTCTCCAGCAAGTGGGGGTGTGGCCTTGGGAAGTGAGGTCCAGAGATGCAGAGAGGGGAGTCTTGGAACTCCTTCAAATCCAAGTGTGGAGCAGGAGCAGGAAAGAGAATCCAAGGAGGAGCTCTACGGAGCTCCAGCCCTGGTGTTGGCTGCCACAGGCAGGGGGCTCCACTCCCCTTTCCAGACTCATTTCTGACTTGGAAGCCATTTGAGGACAAGTTTCGGTTTTCCATCTCAAAGTCTCAGGAAGGAGAGGCCAGATCCAACAGGGCTTGCCAGTTCTGCTGTTCCTAGGTTGGTGGAAACTTTGAGCTGACCAGAGGGGTCTCAAATCAGCAGGCAGGTGTCTAAAGCTTGATCTGTAGCCAAGGGTGGAGCTATCGCCAATCCAAAAAGCTGATGTGGTGGGGGCGGGGAAAGGGAGGCTTAATCATGGAGTTGTATGATCGGCTGG